AAAAATTAAAAAACAGCTAGACGCCGTACCAACTCGTGACACCTTAGGTTTGAGTGCTGCTCACCATCGTTTCGGTGAGACTTAGTCAAACGCCCCCAGCCTTTAGGTTTTCTCCTGTCGCTTGACCCCAAGTCGCGACAGGGTTGGAACCTTCTGCGCGAACCCAGGAGCCGCCTTGAGGATAGATGGAAGTCCTTCTTGTGGTGGTGACGAAGCAACGGTCTGCTTGGTTGTACTGGAGAAGAGGAAATCCTATGAGGGCTGGTAATCCCAAGGGAACCAGGTTTACTGCATTGTTTGATGTGATGGTGGATGAGTTGTTCGACTAGGTAAAACTAGGAACATAGCTTTAGAAAGCTCAACCTTTTGATACAACGGTCTATACTCCTATATCAATGCCTGACTCGTAGACAATGAGCGAGGGCTTATGGACAGTGCGTCTTCCAGAAGATCGAGTGAGGAAGTCAAGAATGACCACTACCTCAAGCAAAGAAGAGCAGAGACTTGAATGAATAACCAGGTCGAACTTAGGGTTTGACCGACTAATGGTACAACTACTTATACAAGTACTGACTATGCATGGACCATCATGTCTATATGGTCGTGTTAGTGAAGAAAGAAACGTAGTGGTATGATGCCGAGTACAAAGTGCACACGGACCCCATTATGTAAGCTACATAATGTTCAACCTGCGGGTGAGCACTAAGATAGGCACCAGTATGGGCACTAGTAGTACAAAGAATAGAACGGAAAGACAAATGTTTCAATAATGGCATAACGTGGGGTTTCAGATGAAATATTCTGTGGGAGCGTACAACAGGACAAAATAATGTGTCCAGTCAATGGAGGGATGATGAGGCTCAGACGAGCTCCTATGCATCACTCTTTGAGGTCCAGAACAATCAGGTGATGCAAAAACATTAGGCACCACTGCGACCTCCTATATTCAGGCACCGATCACAAAGCTGCGTGGGAGGTCCTACAGATAATGAAAGGGTCACGTGCACATGTGCGAAACACGTTCTTGGTCTAAGCCGAATGGGGCCATTCGGAATTAGCGAGCAGGTTGCAGTACATAGGCGCCAGAACCGTGTGAATGTGGTCGGCTCGTTAAGTACACTAACGAGGACTTGAACCCAACTTTCACTGCTCCATTCCCGCAACCTTACTTCCACCATTCAGCGGCCATGTCGTCCCTTCCATACCCATCGGTGGAGAGTTACAAGATTCCTCGGGAGTCTGTTGATGTCGAGGCCATTGCCCAGAAATGTGCCTGGTACCTCCAGGCCACTGGAGAGGACACCGAGTACCTCAGCTACGACCCCACTCGTCGCGACAAGCTCATCGCGGAACTCTATGAAAGACCTGACGTCGCACCCAACTTCGGCGCGGAGAATCTCGTGCCATTTGGTAGCGATCCTGATGTGTATCTCAAGTTCGCCGATGGTGAGATCGAAAGGCTGACGCCGCCGCAGTCATTTAAGGAGTGAGTGTTCACCAGTACCTCCAAGTTTGCGTTTGCATTGATCGGTCGAACCAGCCGTATCATGCGTCTTCATTTTGCCTTTGCAGCTCTCATGGTCTTCAACCATTACAAGTTCAAGTACGGACTGCTCGATCATCACGATCTGCGTCTCAAAGTTATGGAACGGCAAACCCAGCTGTGCGTACTCACTACTATTGGCCTTATGCCTTCCTTGCGTACCCATTGTAAATGATTTATGATTGTTAGTATGAAGGAATGGTATGACACGGTATTTTGCCGCCTCTTTCCGGACCGTGTTAAACCCAAATCCGCTCCCTCAAACGCGCTGACTACTTCACGTTCCCGCCCGGTCCCCATCAATCCTCCTGCTACTGGTGGACGTACCGTTTCAGCGCGATTCGTGGACGCGGACGACGTCAAGCAGTTCTTGAACAATCCTCATACGCTTGTCGGAAAGCGATTTATTCATATGCCCCCTGTCGACCAAGACCAGGATTATCGTGGCACTTGGCAAGTAGATTCGTACACTGTGCGCAGGGTTGATATGGATGTGGAGCATGAGTACCTGTGCCTACTCGAGGCATTCGGAGATAGCCCTGTCCCAATGGGCCCAGAGGAAGTTGGATACCTCCTTCGATACTCTCAAGTCCAGGCGACTTTGTGATCAGGGAACTGCGTATCCTACTGCTACGCCCATCACGTTATGTGTCCGTTATCATCATTGTTCTTCGAGATGCAT